CCCCTCTGCTGCGCCCCACGCCGCCACCGGCCGGGTTAACTCTTACTCACCCTCCCATCTCAGCTCCACTGTCCCTCCTGGGAGTCTTCCCCAGACCCCAGGGAGAGCCAGCTCCACCCCTCCTGGCTCTCAGAATGGCTGCTACTTAATTCGCAGGGCCAAAGGCAAAATGAAAATGCAGGGCGCCCTGTTCAAAAACTATTCTGAGTTTCAGGAAGGCAACAGCAGAGCATTAAAGCCAGCACGGAGCCCTTGTGACACGGGGCCCCAAATGACGGTACAGGTCACACGCCCACGAGGTCAGCCCTGCTCTCAGGACTTCCTGTATTCATCCTTCGTTACAAATTTCCTGGTGCGATTATTTAAAGTTGGTCTATTCCCACGAGTCTAAGAACTCCCCAAGAGCAGGGCCGGTGTAGGTTTTATATACAACTCTGTCTTTCCGGCTCCCAGCACAGCTCCTGGCACAGTGCTCAGGAAATATTCTAGAATAAATGAACGGAAAGGGGTGAAGAAGACAAAAGAGGAAGAAGGAGGGAAGAATGGAAAGACTGGACAAGACAGAGAGGGACAGAAGAGGGAAGAAGGCAGGTGCACGGGAAATTGCCGCCAAGGAGCAGCCTGGGGAGCAGGGGAGGGGACACAGATGGTACTCACTGCTGCTCGAAGGGCTGTCGGTACCATCCAGTTCTGCCCTCGGGAAGCTGTGCCCGGAGCGGGCCGTGAGCAGCGCTGACTCGATGGCCCTCTCGTGGGCAGTGAGCACGATGGCGGGGGCCCGGCCCCCAGCCCCGGGGCCCGACAGGGACTGCTGCATGAAGGCCAACTTGTCCTTGGTCCTCCGTTTCATGTCATCCCATCTGTGCTTAATGTCCTTGACGGAGCGGGGGACCTGGCTGACGGAGGTGATTTTCCGAGCTATGCCTTCCCAAATCTTGTCCCTGTCGGCATGGGACAGCCGCATGGTCTCCCTCCCAAAGAGAACCGCTTCGTGGTGGGTCACCTCTGTGACCAGAATGTCCAGCTCCTCCTTGGAGAACTTGGGCTTCCTCTTACGCTCGGCCAGGGGCGCCACATTCCTTGGGTTGAATATCCCACAAAGCACAATTGGGTAAATGACCGTCAACGCGCGTGGTCCTCCTCCTTCCTAATTGCCGGCCCCCAGCTGGGGAGACAGGAGGCACCTGGGCGCCCTCGCCCGCTCACCACCACCACACCCTCCCTGCCACTACTGCTCGGAGGACGGGAAGAGACGCGGCGCACGCGGGTGGGAGCGCTGGACTGAGTCGCACGCCTTCGGATTGAGGCCCTGCCTCACCTCTGACTAGCAGGGACAGCCAGGGCACTTCACCCAGCCTCTCCCAGCCCCGCTCTCCCCATCTGGACTGGCAATAACAACCACACCAATCTCGGAAAAGCATAGTGATGTAAAAGAGCTTTAAAGCCCTAAAGAGGAACAAAGGATCCTTATTGGGGTTAGGATCCTGCCACTGCCTCTACAAATGGCTTGGAGGAAGAATATTTAAACAGGGAGACTATTTACAGTGGGCTTCTGTGGTGTGTGGCCTCACTGGTGACGCCCATAATTAGAATGTATTCACAGAAAGCTTATTCTGTCCCGTGGCTCTCTTCTCCTTCCCCGTGCCCAAGTTCCCCACCAAGTCCCCACCTATGGGTGTGTGCAGGCTCCCCTCCACTGGAGCGCTGGCTGGCAGCAGCTCCTTCTGGGGGTGGGCTGCTGCGGATTTTTGGCAGCTCACGGGCAGAACGAGAGGAGCTCGCAAGCTCCCTCCGGGAGACAAGTTCCACTGGGATGGAGGCCAGGAGTGACCCTGGCTTCCATCTGCACGGAGCAGCCAGGGGCCCTGGGCAAGGGGACAGGGTGGCCCTTCCCGCATCTGACCTGGCACCTGCTCGGGCTTTGGAACTCAATTTCTCCACAGTGTGGTTCTGTCCACCCTTTAACTAGTGCCAGAATGTCCCCAAGACCCACACAAGAGAGGAACCCAGGTAGGGACGGAAACCTGGAGCCCGATTCACTCTTCTGGCTGCTGCCAAAACCACAAGGAGAGACCAGGGGCACAAGGATCCTTCAGCCCTCACCTCCCCACCCCACCCACCCGGAACACCATGGCCCAGGAGACGGGAGAGGAAGGCCAGGGCTTCGGTTCCCTGCCAGACAGTGCAGGGGCCCGGGCCTTGCACTCACAGACCTGGGACTAGAAGCTGAGTCTCCTGTGCAAATCCCACTTCCCCCTCTGTAAAACGAGGGTGGTAATTCTAGTGCCACCTCCCCGGGCTGCCAGGAGGAGTACACGGGGGATTCTCAATCTCGCCAATATTGGTGTCTAGGGCTGGAGAGAAGGTCATCCTGGGCAAAGTAGGATGTTGACCAGCATCCGTGGCTTCTGCCTGATAGAAACCAGTAGCATTCACTCACAGAGTTGCAACAGCCAAAAACGTCTTCAGGCATGGCCAAATGCCCCCAGCCAGCAAAACAGCCCCTGGTCTCCGACCGCCCATTTCATGAACGCAGAGCACCTAGCATGGGGACGCCACAAAGTCAACACTCATTATGTGGGGGCCCACTCTCTTCCTAGCCCATCACTTGATCTGGAAGAAACTGACTACCATTCGGTCATCCACAAGACACTAGGCTGGGACAGTACAGTTGAGGGGGTCTGCAAATTAGACTGAGCTGTACAAATGGAAGCTGTCTATTCAGGGAGAAGGAGCGTTCCCAGCATGAACTGGCTTTCCCCTCCAACTACCACCAGAGGGGCATCTCCATGGCAACAGACCACATACCCAACCCCAACCTACTCCTTGAGTCTTTAATGAGATGAGGGCCCATCAGCTGTGACTGTCCTGGCACCATCTTGGATTAGAATGGGGCTGGGAGCAGGACTAGGACAGATCCCATGCCAGCGAGGTAGTGGCAGCAGAACCCACCCCACACAAGCCCAGGAAGCCAGGCTCCGCCTGTTCCTTTGTGCACAGGCAGAAAGAACACTGGCCCAGAAGTCCAGAGATGGGTTCAGGTCCTGGTTCTACACTGACTGTGTGATCTTGAGTAAGACCTTGCCCTGCTCTAGGTCTCAGTTTTACCACCATCACATGAAGATGGGGACAGAGCAGTGGTTCTCAACACCAGCGGCACAGCAGGATCATTCTGGAGAGCTTTACGAAATACCAATGCCCTGGGCTCATCCCAGTCCCATTAAGTCAGAACCTTAGCTCAGATGATGAACGTCTTTCTTTGGGGTTGTGGTAAAGCCTTGTCCCCAAGCTGAGAGATCAGAGATGGGTAGAAGGGTAAAATAGAATCAGCTCCACCAGCCAAAGCTTCTGGAGCCTAGAAAGCAACAGCGCACCAGGCCGCACTCAGACACACCCTCGTCTGCTTGCCTAGAGCCAGATGGGAGCAACAGGGGTTGGGAGCACAGGCCGGTCCCCACTTCTGTGTCTTTGCTTACGGTGTCCTCAAATGTCATCCTGGCCCCTTTGAAGGCCCAGCTCAAAGGCCCCCTCCTCTTTCCGCTGGGCCCTTGTAGCACATTGTCGTGCCTTCATTCAACAACCGTATTAGAAAAAGCATCTTCCACGGTGGAAGGTGTGAGTCCTGGGAGGGCCAGGCCAGCCGATCCACCCGGGACAGGGGCTGCTCTGTGAACGGGTGGTGGATTGTATGTGCTGAGCTGACCTGCACCCAGCAGTCAGGAGAAGAGGAAGGCGGTGAGGAGTGTCGATTGCCTTCTTGAAGCCACTTTCAGGGCATGGCTGATCGGATTACTTGAAAGGGGGTTGGGGTGCCACGGGTGCCTCTGCTTCTGCACTTTTCAATGGCAATGAGAACAGCTGCCCGACACATAAAAGGATGCATCTTAAGGTGCTCTGGAGAGTGCCAACTGAGGCCCGCCCATCAGCAGATCTGAGCTGGGAACACAGGTGGACAGGGAGGCCACGGGGAAGGGGACAGGACACCTCGTCATGGACGCCCCACCTCAAACCAACTTCTCCTCCTTCACTTAGAAAGTCTCAGAGTTTAAATACAGCAAACTCGCTCTGAGAAAGTCCCTAACTGCCCTCCCTCAAGCAGCATCTCTCCTGCACCTCCAGCCCCCAGACCCCATGGGTCACGGAACTGCACAGACGCCGACAGAGGGCCCGATTCACGGTGTGGTTGTGCGCCTGGGTCCAGCCATCCATGGCCTCCTGTCCCTCCCAACCAGATCCAACCCCCACCACATCACTCCTGGGTCCCAGAGAGAGGCCACCAAGGAGGCAACAAGGCAAGTCCAACCTCCCACATGGCCCCCAGACTCCTCCGGGCAGGGCCCCGGCACACGGCACAGGCCAGCAGCACAGAACCAAAAGGAGAGCCCTGCACTGGGCCCTCAGTTCCAGGCTCAGCTCAGCTGCCTCTGGGCGACCCTGGGCCAGTCTACTGCTCCCTCTGGCTGGCCACGAAGGATCCTTCTAGTGCAAACTTCTGTCCCAAACACTGGACCACGGTAAAACCACTCTTGAAAGTACTCATGCCTGAGCAGCAAGCACCATCGAAAACTGAGCTACAGAATGTGCCAGAAGCCTCTTTTCCCATGGGTGCCATTTAAACGATGCTGGTGATGAGTCCTGCACCACTCCAGCAGGAGTCTGCCCTGAGGGGTGTCACATCCTGGGTGGAGGGACACCCCTCCTCACAGGGGTGCTGTCAGGAGCCAGGGGCCTAGGTACTTGAGACACTCTGACAAGTGCCCAGTCTCTAGGGGTCCCTGTAACCCACCAGCCAGGCCACAGGCCTCCTCCAGGGCCCCTGATGGAAGGCTGGGGGAGCAAGAGGGTCCTCCAGAGCTAGACATGTCCCAAACCCTGCAGACGGCAGTCCCAGGGCCTCTATGGGCCTCCACCACTGGAGACCCCACAGCCCAGCACTCTCCCTTGGCCTCCTCTCCAGAGTTCAGACAGGGCTCCCGGGAAATCGGCAGAGCAGGACTCACCTCATCCAGTTGGCCTTAGTCTCGTCTGACCCGTCTATGGACTTGTAGCGGTTGTTCTTATCCACAATCTGGAAGACAGAGACAGAGTCTAGAACGGGCCATCCTAGGAGGGCTCTCCTTGGGCTCCGCCCCAAACCAGGGCCCAGGGCCTGGCCCCATCTGCCACCACTCAGAACCTTCCCCTCGCCCTCCCGCTACAACGCCCCCACCGCAGCGGGACTGAGACCCAAGCTGGGGCCGGGAATCCCATCTCCCTCCTCTGTCGTGATGGAATACCAGCAACACAGCCAAGGAGCAGCATCCCCAACAGCCTCACGCTGCAACAGCAGTTAAATCCAGCCCTTCCTCTCTCTCCAGTTTCTGTGGGAGACAGAGGCCGGCCCTGGGTGATGAGGCATATGTGACGGAGGGGGGTCCTCCTCTCCCCATCTCTAAATGTTCAAGAGCCTCACGGTTTGGGCTGAGTCCTTTCATCTTCCGTAAAACGGCCTTTATTTCATCACCACTCTTGAATCAGAGTTCAGCTGGGTATGGAATTCTAGGCAGATGAAGTTTTATTTGCTTTCAGCATTTTGAAGATTGCCAAAAAGGCTGCCTAGGGTCTTAAGCAACCTCCTGTTAGCCTAATGTTCTTTTGTGGATAATCTGTCTACGGTAGATTTTAAGACTTTCCCTTTATTCCTGATTTTCTGCAATTTCTCTCTGTGGTTTAAAGTGGAGATTTACTTTTTAAGAATTCTCCTCATTACTTGATGAGCACATGACTTGATGAGGACTTCTATTTCTTTTTCAACTCTGGAAAATTCTCAGCTTTTATGCTTTTGCGTATGGCTTCTCAGTCGTCTTCTCCAGGCTCTTCTTGCAGAATTTCTATTAAACATATATGAGAGCAGCCCACTCTATTCTCCATGTCTTTTAACTACTCTTTCATATTTTTCTCTTTATCTCTGTGGGTGACACTCTGAGAAAATTTCTCAGGAGTCTCTTCCAAATCACTAATTCTCTCTGTGACTGTGTCCAGTCCAGAGTTTATCCATCTACTGAGATTCTTCCTTTCCTTTTTTAGTGAGTACTTTCAATGCAATGAATTTTTTTCATTCCCAGAACTTTTAATTGGTTCTTTTTCATATCCATCTTTTTTTTTATCATTCTGTCTCTTTGTTTCATAATGACATGGTCTTTCTTTTTCCTTTTCTAACAGTTTTATTGAAGTACAATTGACATATAACGTACCATTTGATAAATTCTGACAAACGTGTACACCCATCATCACAATCAAGATAACAAATGTATCCATCACCCCCAAGAGCTTCTCCATGCCCCCTGTAATCTCTCCCTCCCTGCCTCCCATCTCTAGTCCCTGGAGGCACTGGACAGGCAACCAGTGAGCTACCTTCTGTCACTATAAATTACTTTCCATTTTCTAGAATTTTATATAAATGGAATCAAATGAAGCCATGTCTGGCTTCTTTCACTTAGCACAATATTCTGAGATTTGTCCATATCGATGTGTGTATCAGAGTTCATTCCTTGGTATTAGTGAGTAGTATTCCATTGTTTGGGTGTGCCACAATTTGTTTTTCTAGCTACTTATTGACGGACATTTGGATTGTGTCTAGTTTTTGGCTATTACAAATAAAGCTGCAAAGAAAATTCACTTACACATCTTTGTATAGACACACATGCTTTCATTTCCCTTGGGCAAACACCTAGTAGTGGAATGGCTGGGTCACATGTATATGGTAACTTTTAAGAAACAGCTAAACTGTTTGTCAGAAGAGCTGCAGCATTTCACATTCCCACCAGCAGTGAATGGACCCACCAGTTGGTCCACATCTTTGCCAATACTTGGCATAGACAGTCTTTTTTATTTTAGCCATTCTAATAGGTATGAAGCAGTATCTCACTATGGTTTTAATTTGTATTTCTCTGATGACTCATAAGGTTGAGCTTCTTTTTGTGGGCTTATTTGTCAGCTGCATATGTTCTTTGGTGAAGTGTCTCTTCATATCTTTTGCCCATTTTTAAAAATTATTTTATTGAGGTCACACGGGTTTATAACATTGTGTAAATTTCAGGCGTACATCATTATATTTTGGTTTCTGTACAGACTGCCTTGTGTTCATCACCAAAAGTCTAGTTTCCATCCATCACCGTACATATGTGCCCCTTTACCCCTTTTGGCCTCCCCCATCCCCACCCATTTTTTAAATTGGGTTTTTTAAAAATTATTGTTGAGTTTTGAGAGTTTTTAAAAAATATATTTTGGATACAAGTCCTTTATCAGACATGCGATTTGCAAATATTTTCTCCTAGTCTGTGGCTTGTTTATTCATTCTCTTAATGGCGTCTTTCTAAGAGCAGAGGTTTTAAATTCATACAAACAAACAAAAACCCACTGTCTTGTTCTTTTTAATGGATGTTATCCTTCCTTTATTTCTGTGAGGGTCCTAAGGCTTTGATCGCTAATTAGCCCTCATTATATATTATCCCCTTCATCCATAGCAACAGAACCCTTGGATTATAACTGGGCACCTTGCTACCCATAATAACAGAATACATTTCTTGGCTTCTCCAGCTAAGTTCTGGCCAATAGGATGTAGGTGGAAGTGTCATGTGTCAGCTTCCTGAAAAATTCTTCAAAAGACAGCTGATACAAGCCCTTCCACTATCTTGCTGTCTGGAATGGAGATGTGATGGCTGGAGCTCTAGCTACCAAATTGGACTATGAGGATAATCTAAGCATTGAGATAGTGAAGTGATGAGCTGGATCAAGCTTGGTTTCCTGGGGACTTAGTGGAGCAGAGCCACCTCAGCAGGCCTAGAATGTATTCATAAAAGAAAACAAAACTCCTATGTTGCTTTAGCCACTGTTATTTCAAATCTCAATTACTCACAGTCAAACCTACTCCTGATACAGACCCTAAACAGTTATTTTAAATTCATTTTCAGAATATGCTACAATTTTTATTTTAATTAGAATGAATTCATTTGTCATAGATTTTTGGAAGCTGTCTTTTTAACATCAATTTTCTTCATTAGTTTTGGAGATTTGGTGTGGAGGCTCATCTTGAGTGGGAGTCTGTCTGTCTGTCTGTCTGACTGTCTCTTTCTCTCTCCTGCTTTTTCCCGTTTCAAGCAGTCAACCTGGCTCCACTCTCCACCTCACATGGGATACTTTTATTTCATATTGCCCTCAGCAGCTGAAACTGATGGTCACCTCTGCCTGCTCCGGATGGAGCCCCATGGGGCTTTGTTTTCAGCTCCACGACCACTTTCTCCTCCGTCCCTCCCTTCCTCCCTCCCTCCCTTCCTTCCTCCCTCCCTCCCTCCCTTCCTTCCTCCCTCCCTCCCTTCCTTCCT